GGCCTGGTAGGGCCAGAAACTCCTCAAAATCTCCAAAACACACACACACACACACACACACACACACACACACACACACACACACACACACACACACACAAAGATGTCTTTTCAACTCATCTTATGTGTATTAGCAGAATTCATGCTGATTGCAATTAATGCGTTTTACATTTAGAATGACTATTATTATCCGTATTCACTGGATCAGATTAGAACTTTCAGAAGTTTTTCATTTTGTAAATAAAGCAACCCATGCTCTCACCTCAGGTAGTTGGAGTTGGATGATTTATTCTCTGAGCCGGAGTTTCTTTTCCTCTGGAAGAAAATGTCATGTTTGGAGTCACAGTCCGGACTCACGGAGCCGTGCTCGCTGCTGCTGCTGCCGGCGGCTTCACCCTGCAGCTGCACTGGTATGGATACATTTGGGATGTAGTCTGAGAACACAAACATTCATCAGAAGGCACATGAGCATGAAAAATAACTGATCAAATTCAACTCAACTAAGCTGTATTGTGGCAGGGTTCCTGCAGTTTCAAGCAAGTTACATTTAAGACCTTTTAAGACTTTTTAATGCCAAGTAAAATGAAAATTAAGACCAATTTCATATTAAAAACTAATGACAAAAGAATAAAAACTGGCAGAAAGTATTTTTTGTTTAAGTATTAATATTGCTAATAGACCATTTGCTTTTATCCATATATAATTATAGCAGAAATCTTCTTATCAGTCAGTTTTAAACTTAATTTAATTTCTGAAAATCCTCTAACGACCCAAAATTTGCAGTTTTAGGACCCACAGTGGGGTCTTAACCCCAATTTGCTGTAGATGAAACCTTAAAATGCCTGTGATGTGAAATGTTTGTAAGAACAGTGAATGTATTTTTGGAAAGATCATTATTAACATTTTACAAAACAAATTTCACATTGCTCAGATGAACAGTTGTTGAGATATTTGCATGTGAAGTAACAGGAAGTGATGTCAAAAGGGAATGTCTGCATGTAAGTATTTAAAAATATTTTTTACCAATTATTTTAATATTTGAGATGAAATTACAATCATCCTACTTCCAATGTGTTAACATTTTTAAGACTTCTGAAAGACTGATTTAAGACCTTTTAAGGCTACTTAAGGCCTTATTTTTGGATTGATGAATTCAATGACTTTTTAAGACTTTTTAAGGATCTGCAGGAAGCCTGTGTAGTCATTGTTTTTTTTTTAACTTTTGCACACTTTCAGTACCAAACTGTAAATCTGCATGACTACAAAACCTAGACAATATTCCTGATKGGCTGATTGGTCAAACCATTTTTTGATGACGTTGCTTAAAGTTTTAACTCTCAAGGTACGTTCATCAAAACTGCTTCAAAACGTGAAACGTGAATTTTTAAGTGTGTATTACTCTTTCTGTAAGCAATGTCGGGGAGTGTGTTTGTGTGTGTGCAACCTGTAGGTTTAAAGGCGATCTTGCTCTTCTTGCCCTTGGCGTTGTGTCGGAGGAAAATGTCTCGGAGCAGGTCCGCGGCGATGGCTCGCTTGTGGGGGTCGGGCTCAAAGCAGCGCAGGATGAAAGACTTGGCTTCGGACGATAAGGACTCCGGGATCTCAGGGTGGATTTTAAACATGCCCACCTGCAACGTAAAGCCATAGAGCCTTTCGAATGGATGTTTGGAAATGGAAAAAAATAGAAGAATTTTGTTTCAAATTGAGATAACGTGCCAAACAAAACAGTAATCATCAGCTTTTTTCAACCATGGAATGGTGTCTACCTTAAACATGGCTGCCTGTGGCTCCCCAAGCTCATGGAAAGGAGGTTTCCCAGTTGCCATTTCAATGATGGTACATCCCAGAGACCAGATATCAGCTGGGGCCCCGTAGCCTCGAGGACCCTTATCGATGATCTCTGGAGCCATGTACTGCAGAGTACCTGCAGAGAGAGTAATACAATCCTCACCTTTTTATCTATTTGGTCGTTTATTATCCCTACAAGATAGTGAATAAACAAAATAATTTAAAATGTGAATGTATTTATATTACGGTATAAAAAATGCAATAACTAGGTTGACACATTATCCAATGGAACAATAAAAGTGACCAAATCATTTTTGTGTAGTAACTGAAAAGATATTGGGGTTTATAATTAAAACCACGTGTCCAAAAAAAATAAATTAATAAAAAAACAAAAATCCACAAAGTGTAACTTTTACTTTTCTCCTTTTTATTTTCTTTCCTGCCAGAAATTTGGGGCATGTTTCCAACAAAAACTATAAAAGGAGCACCAGAACTGAGCAAGGAAAGCAACTAAAAAAAAAAAGCAGAGTCCCAGACCAGCTAATGAAAGGTAAACAACCTCTTCTGTCTCTGCTTGATTTCCTAATCTAATTACACACCTCTGCAGCCTCAGGAGAAGGCCAGATGGCTATTAAATGTGTATGTCCGCACACAGTTGTGTGTTTGAGTGTTTCCATAGAGGCTGATAGGGGCTCTTGACATTTTGAGGGTCATTTGATATTTACACTCATTGTCCGAGATAGCAGCATTTCAACGGCTCCATTTATGCAGCGCTGATTGAATTACTTTGTGTTTACAGCAAACTGGTTGGAACCTGTGCATAGTTGGCATCGTCTGTGTTTCATTTCCTCCATTAACATGTGTGAGATACACTTTTGTTTTGTTTCGTTTTGCCTATGATTTACAAAGCAGACTCAGAGATGATTRCCCAATTTAGATCTGTACATGAAGTCTGCTAGGATTAGCCCAGTTTTGTAAATTGTTTCAATGGGATTTCCTAAAATCTTGATTTAAGTGCATTTAAGGGTTATAGAARGTGCTCGATACTCTCAATTTAAATTCGGTGCGAACACAAATACGGTTTGTAAAAAAAAAAAAGAGCCAAATGTGTTGACAGATACCTGTAAACGTTTCTGTACAGGGATTGACTCCAGCCAGACGTTTTGAGGTTCCAAAGTCTGAGATCTTCAGAACACCGCTGTAGGTGTTTACCAACACATTATCACCCTACAGYCAAATGAGACCAACAGAAAGAAACAGGGTTCACATCACCACCCTTACTTTTACAAATAATATATATATTGTAGCTGTTCTCCRCTTTAGGCACTTTGATAAACTGTATTTCCATTTACAGTCATTTCATTGGCCCAGTGACTATACAACAGTGCAGATAGTTTTCACTCGTGGTGCTTAATTTGTTTTTGAATTATACTGTATTAGGATTAAACATGTAATACAAGCTTAATTTGTTTTTGAATTATACTGTATTAGGATTAAACATGTAATACAAGTAACTACAAGAAACATTTAGATTAGATTTAAGCACGCATGTAGATTTGCAAACTTATTAAGACCACTAATACTCATATTTTATCAATTTTATCAACGCAATGTCCCATGAGCCTTGCTGCCCGAGCGAATGTCAAACTTCTCCAAGTGCACAGGATAAAAAACAAACAACCAAACAAACAAAAAATCATGGGTCCACGGCACTGGCTGCTAGCTCAATCATAAAAAAGGATTTTCCCTAAAAAGTATTTGCATTTCATGTATTATATTACATTATTGCATTTGGCCCACAGCCCTCTGATAGATTTTCATTTTGGCCCTCTAGGGGGAAAAAGTTTGGGCACCCCTGCCTTAGAGTTCCTGTCTTCCCTAGGCAGAAACTTGTCAACATATTGTTGTTAAAGTTTTAGCTAACATTTGACATTGATAAATTATAAACAGCATACCCTTTTACGTAAATAAACTAAAACTTGTAGAGCCTATTAAATACAACTGTACCAAATGAAAGTCCATTTTAGACTGAATATTTACACAATTTCGAACACTAACAGTTTTATTGTGCATCATTTTACCTAATCACTCTTATTATTATCAAACTGCTACAATTTGTTTTTCTCATTCAAGTTATCATTTTAAATGACTGAAATGCAGAACTTAAAATGCATTCAGCCAAAAAAAGTACTTTTTTTCCAATTGAGCATCTGATCCTTTCTAAATTTTACTGTCATTTTGTGAATATA